TTTTCACTGAAGTTGCATAATCATTACTTTGGACCTCACTTATCCCTCTTAACGTGCTGCTGATTTCCTCCCTTCTCCTTTTATCACTAGCTAGTCTTCGTCTACAACCCTACCCCTGATCAGTCACTACATTGATACATTCCCAATGTATACCTCACACTACTCCGGTTCATCCTGTTCATCTTATATCTCATCATTTCCAGTCGTATTATCCTTCGCTTTTCATTTCTTTACCTTTTTAAACCTCAGCAATCATTTATATAGTAAACCTGAAAGAAATTCACATTGTGTTACCATGATAGTGTTTAAATTCTGAATTTACTTACCTCTTGCTTCCATCATCTTTTAGATTAGTAGAAATCTCCTTCACTCGTACTTCCCTCTCAGTTGCCTCTCCAGTCTCCTAAATCCCTCTTTCTCTCTTTCGTCCAGTCCCTCCCCCCCTCCCCCCGGTTTTATTTATGTTATCCTCAGTCTACCCTTTTATATACCCCGCCCAACTAAATCGTAGTTGTTCATCCTAGTACCCCGATCGTCACCGTTCAATTGTTTAACTTCACCCTCAATCATTTGACTCAACCCCTTACAGGTCCCTCCTATATGAAAAAGAACCCACATAGAATATAGCAAGATATTATATATATTTTTTCCTATAACCAACTATAGTAAGATTTACTGATAAATTTTATCAATTTTTATTAAATGTACTAAGTTAACGATAATAATTGACTAAAAATTAAATGAATAGCTATAATTATGATAAAATTCATTTAATAAAATTAGTATTGCAAATATTCGAGAGAAAATGAGTGACAAACAAGTTATTTACATTCTTACACTTTAAACCATATTTGTTTTTGATATATTCTCAATATATAAGCTATGAGTTTGAGTAATTACGAAAATAAATAAATTATCTGTAAAATATTTATTATCACTAATTAAATTTGAATTTATTAAATTTATTTTATCAATTAAATATAGCATTTTAATATTATTATATAAAAATCTATCAGATAAATTATTATACGTTCTACTATATATTAAATAAGTGATAAATAAAATATTTATATTCTATTTATAAAATATTCTATAAAATAGATGTTTATTTATTTATATAACGAAATAGAAAATAAATATGATTAAAAAATAAACTATAAAAAATCGTAAAAATTATTATAATATTTGGAATAAATGGTTTTAAATACATAAAATTTATTTTGAAGAAACTAATTAGCTACATATCTATTACCCTCGAATTTAGCAAACGATTTTATCAAATTCACTTTATTTGTAAATTTTAATAGTTAATTATACGAAAAAAAATAAATTATATCTATAGTATCATTTATTTATTTTAGTATTGCTGAGAGACATCTAACACAAAAGTGATCCGCACATTAAAAATTAAACATTTTTAGTGAAAATTGCCATAAATTTCAAATAAAAATGAATTTTTTAGAATATATTATTAAAATTTTGATATTAAATAAATATTTAGAATTTAAAATAAAATTTGTGTATTATTTTACAAAATAAAATTTAAATAAACATTAAATTTATTTCAAACATAACTACTTTAATTTTTATATAATACGATAAATAATGGTTGACAAAATGTGATTTAACATCATAGGCCCGGCATTACCCACAGTATTCTCCTCATAAGTATGCGTACGAATGGCGCATTAAATTCCCAATGTTTTCAACTCTCTACTTCCCCTACGACGTACTCGTGAGTTGTCACGTTTAAGATTGCGGCCTCCCAGAGGTTTCACATTTCTCTCGCCATTATCCAACTAGCAATCCAGTCCAACCAAGACTATACAAAAATGGAAAAGGGATTTTCTTTCTTTTTAAATTTTTTTTTTTTTAGAAAAAATTTATCCACACTTCCCTTCTTCTGCCACGTTGTTCTGCCTTTTTTTTTTTTTTTTTTTTAAAGTATTTAATTTTTTTAATATATTATTTTAACTTTAAAAAAAAAAAAAAAACTTAACTGCTACCTCAATTTTTGCTTATGTAATCTGGGATTGTTTGGAGCAAAATTTGAAGCAAGTCCAAACAAGTTCAGAAGTGAAAGAGTAGTGGGGAGAAAATATAGCTACATTGTTCGATCAATTTTAGAAAAAGAGCAGGTTACGTGTTATTTCGCTGTTAGGCAACAAGCCTGTCGAGAATGGCCCCAGCCCTCCCAGCCGAGCCTTTACGTGGCGGGTGTCAGTTCAGGTTGTACATTTTTTATTTGGATACTTTTGATTTTTATAAAAGTTTTAAATAAAAATATATTTATTTGGTTTTAACAGTAAAATATACCTACCTAAAGTATTCCAAAATTTGTTGACTATCTCGAATAATAATTATTTTAACTAAATTTAAAGAAACTCACTGTAATTTTACTGGAGACTTAAATAATTGATTGATTTTTTTTTTTATAAAAAAAGTATTGACGGGGATGAGACAATGAACGGGGACAAAAAAAAAGGGGGGGGGGAGGATTTTTTTCTTTTTTTTTTTTTTTTTTTTTTAAACTAGATCCAAGGAAAGGTAAAAGGAGAGAAAGAAAGAGGAGAGAGAGAGAAAGAGAGAGAGAAGCGGAGTTCGGTCAGGTTGAAAGCATTGAGCAAAAGTTTCAAAGACAGTGGGGTCCACGGCGGTGTCAGTGCCTTTTTCTCGGTACTTACCGTCCACTGGCCACGTGGGTTTGAATAGCAAAAGAAAGAAAGAGGGACAGAGAGAGAGAGAGAGAGAGAGAGAGAGTCGAAGCCCAGAGTCCAAACGACCGCAAGAGCCGCGTTTGATGCTTCTACCTTTTTTCTCCGTAATAAATGAATAAAAACTAAATTATAAAAAAAAAAAAAAGAAGAAACTCGTTTTTTTTTTTTGGTCATTTTTTTCTTCCACCATCCTCAACTTTCCTTTCCCCAACTCCCCACAACAAGTGTCGTCCTCCTCTTGAAGTCTCTCTCTCTCTCTCTTCTCATAAAAAAACGCAACAAACAAACAATGCCTTGTCACATCCTTTCTCAGTCCATTTCCATGTGCCCACTGGTCTCCTCTTCATACGCGCACCATAATCTCACTACCAAAATCCCAAAATTCACCCTTAGGGTTTTCTATTCATCTCACTCTTCCCGATTACAGCAATAACAATCTTCGATTCTTTCTACAATTTTTTGTTTCTTCTTCTTCTTCTTCTTTGTTTTCTTCTGTCTTCAACATCTTCTTCTCCTTCCATTTGAATTTTTAGTATTGAAGCATGGAGCAACAGCACCAACAGCAGGAGTTGGAGAATAAGCAGGAGGTGGAGCCAGCTTCGGGCTTGTACAAGCCTCGTCTCCAAGAAGAGAGTTCGGTACTCGAAGTCGACGCTATGAGCATCGATCAATGCGAGACGATCCGTGAAATGGATGATTCGCAGCTCGTCGGAGCTCCTGCGGCAGCGAACGCGGGGGTTACCAAGACGCCGGGGAGAGGAGGTGGGTGCCTCGTGGATGTCGAGGTCAAGCTCAAGCAGGAGGGGGAGACGGGGCCGGGAGTTGTGGAGACGATTACGGGGAAGAGGCGGCGGGGTCGGCCGCCGAGAGGTCATCCGAAAACGACGCCTCCTCCTGCGCCGCCGCCGAGAAAGAAGGACGAAGAGGACGTTTGTTTTATATGCTTTGATGGTGGGAGTCTTGTGCTGTGTGATCGCCGGTGAGTGGATTTACGGGAAATCGCTGAAAAATGCAGTAAAAAAAAGGGATATGTTTTGTGAAAACTAAATTTAGTTTGCTAGGTAGAGGTATTGCGTAAGTCGGCTTCGGTTTTTCCCCCTCACTTGTGGTGTTGGAACTAATGGACTAGAGCTTCGTTCTTCAAATCGAGCTTAATTTTTGATTTACTTTGATTTGGATAGAAATATTTAATTGATCGCACACCTTACTTTTTATAAATGCATATCTCTGGCTAACGGACCAAAGTATTAGGGTTAATAACTACCACGTAATTTATTATTAGATTCTGTCCCATTTCATAGTTTTGATTACGGCGGGTTGTTATTTGTTAGGGGCTGCCCGAAGGCATACCATCCTGCCTGTATCAAGCGTGATGATGCATTCTTTCGATCAAAGGCTAAGTGGAATTGTGGTACGTTGGAACATATTCTTTGTCCATTTACCCTTCTTCTCGTTGAAAGGAGAAAAGAAAAAATAGAAGGTGTTTGTTTTTTTGCGCCTCATCAACTTATTAAAGGGGCATACTAAACATGCAAGAGGCATTTAACTTATTACAATGTCCACTTTTCGTTGAAAGGAGAAAAGAAAAAATAGAAGGTGTTTGTTTTTTTGCGCCTCATCAACTTATTAAAGGGGCATACTAAACATGCAAGAGGCATTTAACTTATTACAATGTCCAGGTGGTTTATTGGATACAAACCAAAATGGGTAGATTTCTTTTTGTTTGCATTGGTAGTCACATGTTTAATGATGTCTGTTTACTTCCTTATAGAATTGTCATGGTCTTTTCCAGTAGTTACATTCTTACCATTTATTATTTTTGTTGTTGACTTGGCCTTTAATAATTAGGCTATTTGGTTAATATATTTATGGAGGGTTTAATTACCGTGCATTTCAGGATGGCACATATGTAGCAGTTGTCAAAAGGCGTGTCATTACATGTGCTACACTTGTACATATTCTGTGTGCAAAGGATGCGTTAAGGATGCAGATTACTTGGGTGTTAGAGGGAACAAAGGATTTTGTGGAACCTGCATGAGAACTATAATGCTGATTGAAAATGCTGGGCAGAAGGATAATGAAACGGTATGGTGAATAATCAGTGTCTTTATTTTCAATTTTACTTTAGACATAATATTACCAGAATTCATGTGCTTGTCTGATATGTTTACAGCATGCATGTGGAATTGAGGACCATTGAATTTTTGATACCATGTATTCTACCTTGCCCCTTTTCTTGTCAATATATCTTTCTAATAATGTGTTCATTCATTTTTGCTATCATTGAAGTCCTCGTTTATTCGAAGTAGTTCTCTATTTTATCTTATTTCCCGATTAGCATGTTTTGAAGCTAATGTTGTATAATTTACTATTATGTTGGGGTGTTGGAGTTTCTAGGATACATATATATTCCACAGAAGTTTATTTGCTCGGAAGGGTGCCATTCTGTAATTTGTGTTGCTTTTTACTCTTGGCTGGTGCAGGTTCAAGTGGACTTTGATGACACAAGTAGTTGGGAGTATTTATTCAAGGTGTATTGGCTCTACCTCAAAGGAAAGCTGTCTCTAACTCTAGAGGAGCTCACGAAAGCTAAAAATCCTTGGAAAGGAACTGCTATCATGGCTCCTAGGGTGCAATATTTTAGTGACCCCTATGGTCACAATGATCACAGAGGTTCTTGTTCAGATAATACATGTGCAGACCTGATTGCAAATCATGATAAAAGGAGAAAGACTCAGATACCAACAAATCTCAACAAGATGGACTCTCTAAGTACTGAAGATTCAGGTGGTGACAAAGGGATGGATTTCCCAGAAGATACAAAATGGGCAACAAGTGAGCTTCTGGATTTTGTGGCACATGTGAATAATGGAAATACATCCGTGCTATCAAAGTATGACGTCCAAAATCTTTTCTTGGAGTATGTGAAGATAAACAATCTTCGTGATCCAAATCAGAAATGTCAAATTATTTGTGATGCGAAGCTTGCAAGATTGTTTGGGAAAGAAAGAGTGGGTCACTTTGAAATGCTAAAGCTAATTGAAAATCACGTTCTCATTCCAGAAAATTCTCCAGCTGCTAATACCGACAAAGTGGGTGTTACTGGAGCTGTTCCTTGCCAAGTGGAGGCTGATGGAAACAATTATATTCCAGTAATGGGAAATGATAGGAAGCGTAAAATGCGTAAAAGGGTTGATGAGAGAGGACCACTTGTTAATCCTCATGATTATGCAGCAATTGATGTTCATAATATTAACTTGATATACTTGAGACGTACTTTAGTGGAGAATCTAATTGATGATGAAAAGAAATTTCATGAGAAGGTCGTTGGCTCGATAGTGCGCATAAGAATTTCTGGTAGCGATCAAAAGCAAGATATATATAGGCTGGTGCAAGTTGTAGGTACTAAATTAATAATCAGTTCTTCGAGTTTCCTTTAAAGAGAGGATCAAAATTAAAGTGAAAATACTGGATTTCTTGTTTGATCTTTTCAAGTGTGAAAATATAGGTCATGAAGGATTGTGATTTGGTGATGGTTTTGTATACAGGTACAAGCAAGGTGGCAGAACCTTACAAAATTGGCTCAAGAACAACTGATGTCATGCTTCAAATATTAAATTTAGACAAGAAAGAGGTTATCTCGATTGATGAGATTTCAAACCAGGAGTTCTCTGAGGTGATTAAACATTTTGCTTCTTAATTTTCCGTTCTCCAACCTATCAAGATCTAACATTCTCTTTCAGAGTTTGATGTTATATGAACAGGTTGTCATCATGCTACAATGACATAATTTTTTTTTTCTTTTGGTATTAAGTATGTGGTCTTAAATAAAGCAAGCAATTATTTTCCTTCTCCAAAAGAGTAAAAATTCAGGGCAGGCAACTATCCGGGCACTGTAGCAGCTATCATGTTTTAAGAAAAGCTTTATAATGAATTATGTTAAAACATCTTGATTGACATACCACGACTATGTCCTTTCCTTGATAAGCTATAACATGGGTCATTAATCATTTTGCTCTCTGCTTGTAGAATAAAGTATTTTGACTTGCACAAAACATGGGCAGAAGACAAACATACTTGGTTTATGTTCATGCTTTTGTTAGCCATTGCTTGGCTTTGGAAAAACTTAAAGATGTGTGGTTGAGGTTTCCTGTATGTGGAAGCAATTTTCTTAAGGTTACTTATTTAAAAGAAAAAATTCTTAAGGTTACCATTCGTTGAATAAGAAGAATTATCTCCATGAGGTTATTTTGAAGATACATATTATCCTGTTGAAGAAAACCAATCTATTGTACCTCTTAGATTTTCTGAACAGCATGAGAGTTCTTAAAAATGATCAAAGGGTCTTCTTTTTTCCACCATGTTGTATTTCCTTGACATGATCTGGCCAAATGGCCCGCCTTTTCATTTTTACAAAAGGGGGCTACTTTTTCCATAACATGTTATTGTAAACTCTTAGCATGTTGGGCGAGTAAGGAATTTGGGGTGCTGAGAAGTCTGCTTAGTTCTTTGCACCTGCATTCCCTAGCAAGTCATGTGAATTTAGGATGAGAGATGCAAGTGAAAATGTTAGTACTTGTACCAATGCATGCACAATCATCTTTTCATCTGGAAAAGGGATTCATTAATATAGACACTGTTTCATGGTCTTTAGCATGTATTTTTTGTTCATGATCAGTACACTCTGGTGACGTCACTAATTTGGAAGTATGTAATTCACCTATTTATGTTAAATCTGTTATTCTTTCCCTAGGATGAATGCAGACGGCTACGTCAGAGTATAAAATGTGGGCTCATCAAACGTTTGACTGTGGTATGAATGTGTACTAATTCTCTAATTTTGAGCCTAGATTTTTTTTTACCCCCTTCTCAAAGCAGATTTATGTGCATGGTTGTAGGGTGAGATTCGGGAGAAAGCTGTGGCACTTCAAGCCGTGAAAGTCAACGATGTAAGATCCTTTTCTTCTAATAAAAGTGCTTGTAGTTGTATTTGAACAATTGTGTTGTACCCTTTTAGTTGTTTCTTAAAACTTTGTCAGATTTATGAAATTAATTTGTTGTTGTGCTTAGCCCTTAATTTATTTCTCTGATACAGTGGCTGGAAGCTGAGATATTACGACTCAATCATCTTCGTGATCGAGCGAATGAGAAGGGACTAAGAAAAGAATATCCTTTAATATTTACTGTTTTTTGCTTGTGTTTTTCTTTCTTTTTCCTATGGTTTTTCTGCACTGGCTTAACGGATTCCTAAGCATACATGTTCACTCAAGTATCTTTCGTTGTGAATTTAAGTTAAAGGGACACTGAAACTAATACCTTTCTATCTCGCGATCCTTGTAAGTCCCTCAATTAGATTTTCCTAGCCACCTTCCGATTGCAGGTTTCTCTTTTAGGTTGAATTTGTTAGTTTTCGCTTATTGACCACTTGGCATGTTGTATTGGGAATTGTAGCAGCAGTTATAGCTATTTAATGATATTCTATTTCAAAGGTTTTAGGGATTAAACTAGGACTGGGGATCCCATGACATACAGCAGCTGCAACTCTCTAACTTTATATTATTGAGATATTATCACAACTAAGAAATACATAGTCGTTTATTATCACTATATCAAAAGAAATTGATGTTGTCATGAATATGTCCAATTGTACTTGTCCTATCAGTATTTCTTTTTTTAAGTTTTGTCGTAGGGAATAATTACTTAAGCTATGTATTTCAAATTTGAGTGGATGATTCATGGCTCATCTGATTATAATAGATTCTTTTTCTCTTGAAACTTTTAGAGAAAGAAATTGCTTGTTCTTCTAAAACCTTTTAACCAAAAACTTCTTTGAAATGAGGGCAAAAACGACCATTTTTTGGGGAAAACCTGCAATTCAGTTTCGCACTGCAAACTGTTACAAAAACAAAAATAAAATTTTCCTTTTCAATTGAATCTTCATGGGGTTTTTTTAATGTAAGTAGATTTGTGCCATGGTTTAAGGTAAAAAAGGAATAGGATCTTTATTTGAATATGGCATTTAACTAGTTTTTTGGAACCGTTATTTTCTGAATTTTACATTCCATAAACGATTATGTAGTGGGATGAGTAAAAAGAAACTTTTAGTGGTTTTGCTGTTCCATTTATTAGTTATTTGAGAAGATATAGTAGTGAATGACAAGTATTCTTTGACGATGTTGCACGCTTAGAGAATGTGTTGAAAAATTAGAGCTCTTGAACTCGCCTGAGGAACGTGAGAGACGGCTGCTTGATATCCCAGAAGTACACTGTGATCTGAAAATGAATCCAAGTTATGAGTCAGAAGATGAATTGGATGGGAAGAAAAAAGGTTCTTAGTGTTATTAAAAATATGGAAGCATATTCATTTAGTATTACTATTATTCCTATTATTCTTATCCTATTTTGCTGTTAATCTTCTGTTTGTGCAGGTAACCACATGAGAGCAAGGGGTCCTGATTTTAGTAAGAAAGAAAACACACCAGTCTCCTCTCGAAGAGGAGTGATGTCTTGAATGACAAGGGAATAAGAACATAAAATTTGATTGGAGCCGTCGGACAAGTAAACAATATTTTCCATGGTAAGATTGTCCTGTTGAAGTCCATGAGAGAGTCATGATCCTGCATGTAATCAGGACAGATTTGGTGGGTTGATGATTTGATGCACAAGATCCAGATTGACTACTGCTTC